CACTGTATGAAATTATCCAATACCCAATAAATATTTGTTTTCTTTTCTATTAAATTTGTTAAAATAATTTTAAATAATGTATTTTCTATAAAAAGAAGTATGGTTGTGTAACATCCTAATTCTAATAGCTTATAATGGATAAAATAAGACGTTATAAAATTGATAATCGCAAAGAAAAAACACAAAGACACAAGAAAATATCAAAAGAAAACGACATGCAAATGTGCAAAAATGTTTTCTAAACAATTAAACGACATCAAATATAAGCAAAACATTTATAAAATACAATAACTCATATCAACACACATAAACAGTTGACACTAGACTCACTTTTCCAGATACATGCCTTTAACATTGGGTGTCACTATAAGCGTACACTTCTTGTAGTATTTATATTTTGTTGAGTCATAAACAAAAGAGTTATCATCCTATTACTCACAATGTTAATCCTTTTTGTGGACCTAACCAATATCCATAGACTAAGACATCCTCCGACTCTCACCACATAACTCATTCTACTCTATTTTAGTGTAAATAGTTATTAGAGTTAAGGATACCTCCTTATTGAACCCCCCACCCCCAATTTGAGCATACATAACCACATCACCACAAATAATTTTTGCTTGAAATTCTCACAACATCATCACCACACATATCCATAACCATGTTCTCAATCCATAATACATATTAAGCATACATGATATCCATATTCACAAAAGGTGGTGCTTACAACAATTCTAATGCTTATCGTAACTAATGGTTAGATTATCAGTTCCTCAACTCAACACCAATTTAGACAAAGCAAACAACACCCAAACATAGCAACACATTCATATTTCAGTAGCTCAAACACCAAATCAATAAATCAAGATACTCACATCAACTAGACATGCAGTTTACCACATTCATCTGATTTTTAACTTTAAAATGAAACAATTAGCTTCCTTTACCTAGTGGATGGCCAAATCACTCTAAAAAGCCTAAAACATATCAAAACACACATAAAATCTTATATGCTCCTACGAACAATATAAAATACAATCAGGACACATAATTATGACCATTGATAAGAAGAGAGTCTTATATATGACTCAAACGTTACATGCACCCCCAAATAACTCGAATGTTGTTAGCATAAAGATGAAGATTGGAAGTTTTGATGATGTCTCAAAGTCATATATAAGACTCTCATTTTACACTCAAGATAATCGATTACCAACTTATAATAATCGATTATCAATAATCGATTATGACCTGCCATAATTGATTATCATGAGCAATTATAAGATTTTTCAAACAAGTTTTTGACCGTTGTGCATTCATTAAATGAATAATCAATTATCATAAGTGGATAATCGATTATCACACGTTAAACAACAGACAACGGATTTTTGAAGGTATCCTTGAGTGAGATATCTGTAAATTAGATTGAGAGTCTCATTCTAACATACGATACTTGAATTTCGAAAAACTTATTTGTTTTGTTGTGTGCTGTGATAAGTGTGTTATATGGTTTTGTAAGCCTTGTGTTTTGACTTTAAGAACTTGATGTTGACATAGACCGAAAACTTTCATGGGAGTTGTGATTCAGTGTTGTTGTTGTTGTTGAGTTAAAGCATGTCATCCTTTGTGAAGATTCAAAGGAGGTGTTCATCCTTCGTGAAGCATTCAAAGGAGATGTTCATCCCTTGTAGGTTTTAGGGGAAGTGAGTTTCAACTCTTGTGGTAACAAGAGAGATGTTCTAACCTTAAACTTTGTTATTTTCTTTGTGATTGTAACTGTTAAATATAGTGAAAAATACAAATAATAAATATTAACAAACTAACTGAAAAATAAACTGAAAGATAAAAGATTTAATATTTCTAACACTAACAATTTGTTGGTTTGTGATAGTGAATCGTTAATTCTCGTTTGAGATTAATAACTGGACATAGGATCTGTGTGATATGAACCAATATAAGAATCACTTGGTCAATTTTCTCTCTTCCTTACTCTCTTATTTGTTTAATTTGTTATTAAGAAATTTAAACAATCATGAGAAAATTATTAAAGGCACGATTAGGCAGAAGCACGGTTAGGCAAGGTGCAACATCAGGTTGGGCAATTGTATTATTTTTCCTTTCTCATTTTCACAATATATACATCTCATCTCTTCACAATTGATACAATTAATTCTCTTCTCATTTCTTGGTGGTGAGATATATCTATATATATATATATATATATATATATATATATATATATATATATATATATGTGTGTGTGTATGTATAAATTTCATCCATGTGCAATACCTAAATAAAGAAGCTTTCAATCCATTGCTTACTGTTAAACATTTTTCCAATCCAAAATTCTCATCCTTATACCTTGATTGAAAAGAATTCTTAACTGTGTCAAAAGGTTTTTTTTTTCATCAAATCACAAAAACAAAGTAGAATTATTTAAAAGTAATAATGTATGAGGTATGCATGTGTTATGTATATGATATGTATAAGTTAGGTATGATGTATGTAGGTTATGTATGAGGTAAGTATGAGTTATAGATGAGGTATATAAGAGTTTTGTATAACTTATGTATGGGTTATATATGAGATAAGTATGAGTTATGTATGAGATAATTTGCAAGAAGTCAATGTTTGTACGAAATCATCAATTAAAAATGAATAAGATGACTAGTATGTATGTATGAGTTATGTATGAGGTATGTGTGAGTTATGTATGTGCTATGTATGACTTATGTATGTGTTATGTATGAGGTATGTAAATGTTATGTATGATATCTGCATGAGTTATGTATGACTTATATATAAATTATGTATGAGTTATGTATGGATTATATATAAAGTATGAGTTGTGTATGAATTATGTATAAGGTAGTATAAGTTATGTTGTGATAAAAAGCCTTTTTTGCGTTAGGATTTTACAAAAATACTCCTCACTAATGAAGTATAATGTCAAAAATGTATCAAATTTTGGTGCGTGTTAAGCTTTGATGTGTATAACTAATCCTTGTTAAAGAAAACAAAACAAAACAAAGTGGGGAAAAGAGAAGAGATTAAAAGAACACCTAATTAAAAATGCATGAATCTACTTAGATGAACCTATGATATGCAGGTAAAATGTCGATGCAGTGCTTAACTAATCTGGTATTGATGTTCTACCTAATGAAAAAAAAAACAATTATAAACATGTAAGACCTTGACTAACTAGGGTTCATCTCAGAACCAGAACATAATAGTAAACATGCTTATGCAGGAAATGAATCCTGATCCTATTCATGAATTGGAAATTAAAAATTGCAATGCAAAAAAAATAAAATCAGTTGAACAGAACAATATAGAAAGTATAGACAAGATAAAAATCTAAACTAAAACACAAATGGATTAAGCACTAAACCTAACTATGAGATTCAAATACAATTAAAGTAAAGATTAAAAGAAACATAATTCAGAATTCAATAGATGTATTGATAAAATAACCTGACATAAGAATACCTCTTGGAAAATCAGACCCACTTTGGAGTTACGATTTTTAAACCAAAACCATAAAAATTACAAGTTTTGCCACTCAACCCTCCAAATCAACCAATAAATTTAATTCTGATTTCACTATTCCATAGTAACGAGATCAAAACAGGAGGTTCTATGAAAGTAAACATGAATCAAACACTAATGTTACTAAAAGAAAACAAAGAACAATGCAGTCTCTGAATTAAAAAACTTGTACAAATTATTTATTTTATAATTATTTTTTAATTATTTTTTAATTATTTTTGTGAGTATATTATTGTTTTTATAAATTTATTAATATTTTTATTTTATTTTAATATAATGATAAGAAATAAATTTATTATATTTTGGAAACAAGATGAATTCAATTGTTAGAAGTGGACTTTGAGTCTAACTCAACCTCACATAACCAAAATCGACTTATAGATAAGGTTTGCACCCATTTTGTAAAGTATGAATTGAAGGTTGGAACTTCCAACAAGAAAGAATGAAAAATTATTTAGTTATAAATATACTACAAGTAGACAAAATGAATCAACCTGGACAATATCTTTAAAGTTTAGATTCCATGTCTTCTTAAAAAGTTTGTCATTTAAAAAATTCATGTAAACATCATTTCAATAAATTACTTCAAACAAATGAAAAATGAAAAATGAAAAATGAACAATAGAATAATAATTACAAAGAAGCAGAATATTGGTACTAAAAAAATATCTAAAGGAGAATTTATTTAGTAGTCAAAATATTTTAAATAATATTAAAACTTATTAGTAAATAATATTTCATTTCATTATGAGTTAAAAAAATTATTTTTTTAATTTGATTTCATCTTAACTCATGATATACAATTTAAATGACGGGTTTGTGTTCATTTTAACAAATAATAATTAAGATGCTAAAATTGATTAAATGAATATTGTTAAAAGAATAAATCTTATAAAAAAAAATTTGTTGAGAGACTAAAACTGGTCAACAGTTTAGTGAGAAATTTAATGTGGTTTTTCTAAAAAGGATAAAAAATTATGTAAAATTTACCCAAAAACAAAATGTTGATGGCATGACAGATTCATATTCCACATGAAAATGTTAATCAGTATGGTCGTTACATAATCACTTAGCAATAAACTGTTAATATTACCGTTAATGTTCTGTTGGCCTTTTTCATAATGTCACGTTAATATTACCAAAAACAAATTAATAGATATAATGTTTTGTATTCAAATTACTTTACGTTGTATACAAATATTTAATTTCATCTACAATTTTAAGGTTTTAAAATACATTACAAATTTCAGTTTCTTTTTTTTATTTATTGAATAACTTATTATCAAATATTAAAAATATATTCAATTAATTTTTATCATTTAAAATTCACATGACACGTACATAATTTATAGCAAATAAAATAAGAAACATTAATAAAAAATTTATTAAAAATTTAATAATTGTTTTTCATATTATCTAATAAAATAAAATATTAAACAGAATAACTAACATCAAATAAATTTATTAAAAGAAGACACTGTCCACGCCATGGCCGGAAAATTGCCAAAATCGTAGTCACCATCAGGTTCGTTTTGTAATTTAGGATTAATCATTCCTCTTTCCTTATTATAACTGTTTAATCGAAAGAGCGAGTGTAAAGGGGGCGCGTTTCGTTTGAATCATTATTCACATCTTGAAGGAAATCAGAACAGAACACCATCTCCAAATTTGAAGCATGATTATGTAATAAAAATAGGTTAGAACATGGTATATTGGTAGTATAAGTCGTATGAACCTCTGTTTTTTGTCCCTTGAGAAAAAAAATATTTGTCTGTTGTTTAAGTGTTATGGTGACTAAACAATTTATGATTTCTTGATGGACGGTTATCTTTGTGAAAATCATTGATTTATACGGATTATCTTTGATTATCTTCATAGATTTGACAAGAATAGTCTGTGGTGTCTCAGTTTATAAAAATTAGATGGATAACGATAATGGGAGACCTAACCAAGAAGCCAATATGGATACTAAGGATTGAAGAAATGGACTGCCGCAAGAGTCACGCGAAAGATTTTTCAACCAGATGTAAGATTCAGTTTTATTACTTTCTCATTGATATATATCATTTGTAATTTTTTTATTTTTGCTCCCGATGATTGCCAACATTTCTGTGACGACTCTCAGATGATAAATGAATTTTTCCATGACACTCTCAAATGATAAATGAAAAATGAATGTATATGAAAGAACATTAAGCAGCTTTATACTGTGTAAACATGTGCTCAAATGTCTGGTTGATAGTATAGAAACATAATTAAATCTGTTCGTTTTTCCTCCAAACTAATAACAAAACATGACTTTGATGGTTTTAAATTTCATAATGAAAGTATAGGGATGAGGTTTAGCGTGTCAGCATTGCACATGCTAATTGCCAGGGTCGTGGACAAGCCGAACAGGTGAGATCACTGTGTTATTGTGATTTACCATGCTCAATCATGGGATCGTCATCAGAGTGCACCCAAAATGATACTTATTTTCTCCTGTTGTTTAGTCATCCAAAAAATACAGTTTCTGTTTTTAGAATTCTTTTATTACTTGGTACACCTATAAATACTCCTGTATAGCTGTGTTGGTGTTTTTTAATGAGGAAATTTCTTGTTTCTCAGCATATATCTGTTATCTATCAGTGTGTTAAAAGCCCTGTCCCCAATATCTCCTCATAGAGAATGTGTGGCAGATGGATATTTAGTGGAAAACTATAGTACTATTAGTAGAATTTTTCTCCTGTTTTCAATAGAGTTCATATATGAAATCGCTGAAGCTCCACCTTGTGAAGTTACTGTTCGTCGTTGTTAGCATTGCTGGTTATTGCACTGGGGTTGCTCTGTTACCCAACATCCCCATTTCTGTCTTTACATTTTTTCATGGTCAGCCTATGTTACCTAGCATTAGGTTGTGCCTCTGCTACCCAACCTTGGTCTCTCTCGCTTAGTGATCCTGTCATTTTCATCTCATCCCACTCTTTTCTATCTTTTAATTCTATGCTTCAGCTTCTCTCACGGTGGTTGTTCTAAAATTATCTTTTTGACTTGTAACTCTCCTTGGAACTATGTATTCTTGTTCTTTCTATTCATTTTCAATCATTCAATCATCATCGTCTTCTTACACTTTAACGAGTTATTAAATTGCTTTTCTTCATTTTCTATAGAATGGACTCGTTAAAAAAACATTATTCTGGTTATGGTGAAGAGGGATTGCATATACTTCATTTATATGCTAAAAGGTTTGAAGAGAAGATGTTTACTACTTCAACAAGTTGGGTATGCATTTGATTTTATATTTACAAATTTGTGATTATGTTTCCGAACACATACAATACGAAAGGTTGATGGTTTGATGTGATATTCTCTTATTTCAGCCTGATTATTTATTGAAAATATCTTCGAAAATACGTGAGATGGAGACTAAATCCCAAGGCACCAGGGCCAACCCACCAAATCAAGGTGGTTAACTAGGAGTTGTTTCTAGTTGAAATTAAGTTATTGGAACTGTATTGTATTGTGTGATTTTTTTCACCCAAATACACATGGACGCAAAACTTCCTTAAGGACCATAGTATTCTAAATATTTATACATATGGTACAGTTGTTGGGTTAGTGGGTTTTCGAGTACTCGACTTACTTTTTTTTTTTTTTTCAAAAAAAAAATATTCTTCCTTTTTTTTAAACGAAAAAGTAAAAGGTAGAAGTTCTCAGTTCAGAAATTGATTTTTATTTTTTTTCAATCCGATGTCAGAATTTGGCTTTCAAGAAACTAAATTTTAATTTAAAAATATAAAAAAACGTGTATTATCTGTATAAATATTTAACAATATTTTATTCAAGAATTTTTTTGATTCATGTATGCTATTTAAGTTAAAAGATCTAGTGTCATGATCATTTTATTTTTGTTTGGTGTTACATATGTTACTAGATGTCAGAAGACTTTAGTGCTTACAATTAAAATGCTTTTTGCCTCCATTTGCAGTCACCAACATTAAAGTTGAAGCTAAACAGTCAGACACGCAAAGTGTAACAGTGCCCATGCCATCACCGAAAAAATCTCTAACGCCTTGTTATTTTGAGTGGATTTAAGGGAGTGAATTTGAGGGGATTTGAGAAGATTTGAAGATAAATATTTTTGTCTTTTATTTGAGTGAATTTAGAGATAAACGAGAGTGAATTTAGAAATAAATTTTTTAATTTGTCACGTCAATACAATTATATACTAATTCTTACAAATTTTATTTCCAAATTCACTCTCATTTACCTCCAAATTCACTCAAATAAACGATAAAAAAATTTATCTTAAAATCCTCTCAAATCCCCTCAAATTCATTCTTTCAAATCCACTCAAAACAACAGGGCCTAAAGCGCCACCACCGTCAGGTTCGTTTTCTAATGCTGGATTAATTGTCCCTTTCCTTATTATAACGGTTTAATCGAAAGAGCGAGTGAAAAGAGGGCACGCTTTGAATCATTCTTTGAAGGGAACAGAACAGGACACCGTCGCCAAATTCGGACATTATAAGTCGTATAAGCCTCTGTACTTTGTCCATTGAGGAAACAAATATTTGGTCTTATTTTCTTTCATACATTTATATTTATCTTTTGCACCTTTATTGGGAATCCTATTTGACAATAATAGTATGGTGTTGGTGTTTCCGTTTATAAAAATTAGATGAATAACGATAATGGGAGACCTAATCAAGGTACTGAAGGCAATAGTCATTGGAGAGATGGACTGCATCCAGAGACACGCCAAATGAACATCAACAAGATGTAAGATTCAGTTTTAATAATGTCTATCAGTTGGAATTTTTTACTTTTTTTTTTTCTCAAAAGAAGTTAATGAATGATTTCATAGATTACCAACATTGTCCTGAGGACTCTTCTGGTCTTCTTTTCAATTAATAAACAAATGTATATTAAAGAACATTGATAGCAGCGTCATATTGTGTAAACATATTTTTAAATTTAGTTTAAAACTAATATTTAATGAAAAATTGTTTCATTGCTTTTAATGTCATGATAAAAGTGTAGGGATGAGGTTTAGCGTGTCGGCATTGCACACGCCAATCAATGAATTAGTGGGACAATTTTGTTAAAGTCATCTGCACCTTATAAGATCGTATCATTTTACAAGTTCACGGTTCTGGACAAGCTGATCTTACCATGCTCAATCATGGGATCATCATCAGAGTGCACCCAAAATGATCCTCTTTCTCTCCTATTGTCAAATGCTCCTTGCCATTCACTGCCTTATCCCCTTTAAAATCACTCAATCAATTGTATTGTCTGATCTCTCTGTGCAACGGCCAAAGCTCCTCCGTATTCATATTTTCTCCTCATAGAGAATGTGTGGCAGATGGATATTTAATGGAAAACTATAGTACTATTAGTAGAATTTTTCTCTTATGTTTTCTATAGAGTTCATATATGCAAGCGCTGAAGCTCCACCTTGTGAAGCTACTTTTATTGTACGTCATTGCTACCATTGCTGGTTATTGCACTGTAGTTGCTCCTGTTAACCATTATCCCAATTTCTGCTACCGAACCTTGGTCTGTCCCTCGCATCTCATCCCACTCTTTTCTATCTTTTAATTCTATGCTTTAGCTTCTCTCAGTGGTTGGACTGCTAAATAAATTTTTTAATCACCCTTTTATTTTTCAGATTTGTTCTAAAATTATCTTTTTGACTTGTTATTGAATTTAATTCTATTATCAATTATATTATTAATTTTAATGAATTGTTTCTATCTTGTTTTTAAAAAATCTATCATTGTGAATTTTCAATTTAAGTTTTTTAATGAGATGAGGTTATTTTCTTTATCTGTTTGCTTTATACATGTGTTATTTATAATAATTATTAGATCAAAACTTAGGATCTTATGATTCAAGTTACTGATTTTCTATATCTCTTGTTCCTAGGTAGTATTGCGACTTTAACAACCTTGGAGTAGGATATAGTCATACTTGGGTGTTGAACATTATATCACCGACAAATACAACTTCAAAGTTTTTCAATTATTTTTTGTTATTGCACAATCTGTTAGAATAAACTTTTTCTATCATGGGTGTATCTGTAGAATATAAGGCACTTGTTTATTCATTTTAGATGTCTCAAAGGAGGAGCAGGGCTCAGTTTATTTTTTCCATGTTGTGTTATTATTTTTCATGTGCTATCATTATTCTCATTTGGTGTGTTCGGTTGGCGGTTGCCATCGTTTTCACAGAGGAACATGTTTGTCTTTGCATACTGATTTACGATTGTGTATTTTGCTCTTAAATAGCTTATACATATTTTCACTTCATAGGGAATGTGTGGAAGATGGATATTTAGTGGAAAACTATAGTACTGTTAGAAACAATTTTCTCTCATGTTTCTGATAGAGGTCATATATGCAAAGGAAGCTTAAATTCATATGAAGCAAGATAAATATTGGAGTTGAATTTATCCTTGCCTTAAAACTTGAAATCAATTCTTGAGAGACTTGATCAATGATTCTAATCATAAGAATAGGAACAAGTGTAGGATCTAGATGTCAATACAAAGACAATATAAAATTCAATCTAGCCTAATAGAATAACAAGAACATAACTATGAATGGAAAATGATTAGATTATAATTGAACCGAAAAAGTGGAGAATACTTAAATGGTGGAAGAAGCAAGGCCTGCTATATGAATTTGAAGTTATGCCGTCATCTTCAATATAAACATCAAGGAATAATAATCACTTGTACTCCTAGAAATCAAGAGAAACTCATGGATGAGAATTACTTTTAGGACATGATTGAAACTTTAAATTTAGGCTCAGTTACAATCTAAACTACAATTACTATTTGAACATTGATATTACAAAGAAATTAGAGGACATGGATACTACACTTTACAAGTCTAGGAAGTATAAAATAAAGAAAACGAAGAACTATTTTAATGAGCAAAAGTATTTTCTCTTGTTATGTTCCTTGTAACTCTCCTTGGAACTATGTATTCTTGTTCTTTTTATTCGTTTTCAATCATTCAATCATCATATTTGTACGGAGAGACTATCAAAGCTATAAAACCAATCCCTGCTACTTTAGATATCAATTCTACTATATATGATATGTCTATGATTTCAATAAAGTCTTCTAACACTTTAACGAGCTTATAACATTTTAGGATTGTTTATTAACCTTGTGTTTTCTATAATTTGTATTATTTTGTTATTACATTGTTTTTCTTCATTTTCTATAGGGTTGACTCGTTAAAAAGACATATTCCTGATTCTGGTCAAGATGTATTGCCAGAACTTCATATGATTGCTCAAAAGTTTGAAGAGAAGATTTTTAATGCTGCAACAAGCTGGGTAAATATTTGATTTTAGATTTACAAATTTGTGATTCTGTTTACAAACACATACAATATGAAAGGTTGATGGTTTAATGTGATATATATTCCTTTATTTCAGCCTGATTATCTACTTAAAATTTCTTCAAAGATGCATTCGATAGACACTGGATGTCAGTGCACCAAGGCCAACCCACCAAATCAAGGTGGTTCTGAAAGTATCTAACTCGAAGTTGGTTCTAGTTCAGATTATGTTATTAAGACTGGATTGTGATCTTTTTACCCACATAAAACACATGGATGCAAAAATTACTTAAGGAGCATACTATTCTAAACAATATTTTCTTTTTCAAAAAATTATTCCTCCTTTTTTAAAATGAAAAAGAAAAAAGTAGAAGTCCAGTTCAGAATTTGATTTTTATATTTTTTCAATCACGTCAGAATTCAGCTTTCAAGAAACTAAATTCTAATCTGAAAATATAAAAGACTTGTATTATCTGTATAAATATTCAACAATATTTTATTCAAGAAAATTTTTGATTCATGTATGCTATTTAAGTTAAAAGATCTCGTGTCATTATCATTTATTTTTGTTTTGGTGTTACATATGTTACTGGATGTCAGAAGACTTGGTACGTATAATTATTTTGCCTCCATTTGCAGTCACCTACATTAAAGTTGAAGCTCAGCAATCAGACACGCAGAGTGTAATAGTGCCCACGCCATCGCCAAAAATATCCCTAAAGCGCCACCAACATCAGGTCCGTTTTCTAATGTTGGATTAATCATCTCTCCTTATTATAACGGTTTAATTGAAAGAGCGAGTGAAAAGAGGGCGTGTTTCCTTTGAATCATTCTTTGAAGGCAATCAGATATGGGTACCATCACCAAATGTGGTGAACAATGAATTAAAATGAGGAAATACTCTATGTAAAATTGGAATTATGTTGTTATTGGCTTTTACTATTAATTACTTTACCATCCATATTTGTATTCGTTATAAAATTAATGTTTTTGCATGCATTATAGGTTTAAAGATGTTGGATTGACATTATAAGTCGTATGGGCCTATGTTTTTGCATGCATTATAGGTTTAAACATGTTGGATTGACATTATAAGTCGTATAAGCCTATGTCCTTCGTCCATTGAGGAAACAAATATTTGATCTTCTTTTCCTAATATTTCATACATTTATATTTATCTTTTGCACCTTCTTTGGGAATCCGATTTGACAAGAATAGTCTGGTGTTGGTGTTTAGATGGATAACGATAACGGGAGACCTAATCAAGGTACTGAAACCATTAGTCATTGGAGAGATGGACTGCATCCAGAGACACGCCAAATAAAGTTCAACATGATGTAAGATTCAGTTTTAATATTGTGTATCATTTACAATTTTCTTTTTCTTTTTTTTCCTCAACAGAAATAAATCAATGATTCCAACATTTTCATGAGGACTCTTTTCAAATGATAAATGAATGTATATGAAAGAACATTGACAGGCAGCGTTATATTGTGTAAACATGTTGTCAAATTTTGTTTAAAAATAATATTTAATGGAAAATAGCTTCATTGTTTTTAATGTCATGATAAAAGTGTAGGATGAGGTTTAGCATATCAGCATTACACATACTAATTGATGTGTTAGTGGGATAATTTTGTTAAAATCATCTGCACCTTGTAAGATGGTATCATTTTACATGTCCAGGGTCCTGGACAAGCTGAACTTATTGAGGGTGAGATCAGTCTGATATTGTGATTTACCATGCGCAATCATGGGATCATCATCAGAGTGCACCCAAAATGATCCTTTCTCTATCCTATGGTCAAATGTTTCTTGCTATTCACTGCCTTATCCCCTTTGAAAATCACTGAATTGTATCATTGAATTTCCACCTTATACATATTTTCTCACGAGTGTTTGCTTCAAATTCTCTCAGTTTTTCATATATTTCAAAAGTCATTTACAAAGAAAGGAAACTTGACTATATTTAGCCATTCATGCTAGTCTTGGCCGAAAATACTGCAGAAAAATGAGAGAAAAATTAAAAAAAATATTTTAAAACTTCTAGATCTAGATCAATGGCCAAGATTATTGTCATACTTTTTATGTTTTTAGACTTCTCATGCTTGTATAATTGTCTTGTTTCTCCTTGTCTTGGCCGAACTTGATGCTACTCTATAGACATGATTGAAATTTTAATTTAGACCCAGTTTCAATCTAAACTAGGATTACTATTTGCACCATGATATTACAAAAAAATAAAGGACATGGATACTAACGTTTTACAAGTCCAAGAAGTATAAAATAAAAAAAAATGAAGAACTATTTTTATGAGTGAAAGTATTCTCTCTTGTTATGCTCCTAGTAACTCTTGGAATCATGTATTCTTATTCTTTTCTTTATTTGCAGTCATTCAATCATCAGATTTGTACTTAGAGAGGAGAGTATCCAAATTATCAAAACAACTCCCACTTCATTTCTGATATCCATTATACTATATTTGTTTTTTGTTCTGCACATATGTATGATTTTAATAAGGTCTTTTTTACATTTTAACAAGCTTATAACATATCAGGATTGTCTATTGACCATAAGTTTTCTATCACTTGTATTATTTAGTTATTATATCCCTTTTCTTTATTTTCTATAGAATGGACATGTTAAAAAGACATGTTCCTTATTCTAGTCAAGAAGGATTGCATGAACTTTAGTGTATTGCTCAAAGGTTTGAAGAGAAGATTTTTACTACTGCAACAAGCCAGGTACGTATTTGATTATATATTTATCATTTTGTGATTATGTTTACAATTACATTCCATTTGAAAGATTGATGATTTAATGTGATATTCTCTTATTTCAGTCTGATTATCTGCGGAAAATATCTATGAAGATGCTTCCACTGGAGAATAAATCCCAGGGCAGCATGGTCAACGTTCCAAGTCAAAGTGGTTCTAGGACTATCTAACTTGGAGTTGTTTTTAGTTTAGCTTAAGCAACTCGGACTCTATTGTGTGATTTTTTCACCCAAATAATACACATGGACACAAAAATTACTTAAAGAGGATACTATTCCAAAATATTTACATATAGCTACCGTTTATTTTTTAAGTAGTAAAATTATGCTTATTTTTTAGTAATTTTTATTTCAAGAAATGTTTTCCTTTATTTTTAAATGAAAACAACATGAAAAAAGAAACTTGTATTATTTATATAAATATTTGGCACAATATGTTTAGGTAATTTTGGATCATATGTTTCATTAGAATAAAAAAAGTCGTATTCTGCTGTGTCATAGTGATGTAAAATATCATTCTCATTTTATTTTTGTTTGGTGTTACATATGTTGCTGATAGATTATTTGGGGGTAAGTTTTATTTTATTTAAAGGAGTTGATATAAGATTATTAATCAAATTCAATGTTTATTTGTCTTTGGAAATTGAATTTTTTTTTTTCAATTTAAACTACTCTTATATTGAATTTTATTTTTATTTTAATTGTCTTTGTGTAATTTTTATATAGCACCATATAATAAAATACTAATTATTTTAAATTATAATGTTAACTTTTTAATTTCATTTAAATAAAAAATTAAAAAGTAATTTAACAAATATGTAAAATAGTGTGATAATTTATTATTTTTTATAAAAAAAGAAAATAAGTAATAGTAATAAAAAGAAAACTAAAAATAAATAAAAAGTATATTAAAGTATAAGAAATAGTAGTCAAAGAAAATTAAATAATCTAGAAGGCAACTCAAGTTGATTGTAGCTTACAAGGTAGAAATAAACTACTTTAAAGAATTCATTACAAAATATGATGGCTAAATTACTTTATAAGCTACTAGTTAGCTTATTAATTTTATGGAAGGCTTTCTAAGTGAAATTTAGTTTTGAGTAGTGGTACAAGTAATTAACTTTATTGGTTTAATCATCGGGTTTCGAATTTTAAATTGGTCTTTTTCTGTTTTTTACGTTTTAATTGGGTATTTATTTCGTGAAAATTTTAATTAGATCTCTGTCGTTAAATTGGGCCTAACGATGTTATAGTTAGGTTGACGTGACATGGTTTTTAAATGACGTGACTGACATATGTTGGGCTTTATGTGGATTTTAGTTGTTTTCAAATAAAAAAGTTTGAAAAACTTCTATTTTTTATGAATCCCTAATTGCTTCAATCCATAATAAAAGGGAAAAACTCTATTGTGCTTCTTCTTTGAGAGTGTTTGTTGTTCTTGAAGTAAGAGAGGTTTGAAGATAGCCTATTCATGTTCGTCTTTCTCATGTAGAAAAACCCTAATGTTGTTTGTGGTGGTGGTGGTGGATCTACGATTGTTGGTGTATCACCCGTTTTCTTATGTGGAGAGAAATGTGTTTTAAGAACTGCGAGAACTGCTAAGAATAGAGGGGAGCAATTTTGGGGCTACTCTAAGTACAAGGTATGGTATTTTCGTTATTTTTGTTTAAAGCAAGCCATTGTTGGATGTAATTGGTGTTTTTTTGTCACAGAATGGTAGTGAAGATGGTGACTGCAGTTACTTCAGATGGTCTATTGATGATGGGATCGAGGAATGGGATAGGAGTATGAAGTGTGAAGGAAAGGCTGACTCTTTCGTCAACAGAGAAGAAATGGAAGGTGGATGGAAGATTATAAGTGATTTAGAGAAATCGATTAAGATATTAAAAAAAAGGAATAAGGTGTTGATAAGAGTAGTTAGTGTTGTTTGTTGGATGAACATAATTGTAGTTACAATATGGATGACCAATCCATGATGTCTTTTAGTAGTGTTTTCATTGTACTTAGGATCCAATGTACTTAGGATGCAATATGTATGAGAAATACATTCAACTCAGTGTTATATAATTAACGTTGTTATTCATTATAATGAATGAAAGTTATTTTGACTTGAAAAGTTTCTATTATTTGTTACTTTTGGTTTATATCTAAGAAGGGAAAACAATTCACATAACTGTATCATAATCTGTTATGAAAATTTATACTCTGTAAACTTCACTTGTAAATTTTGACTTGAAGATATCATAATCTGTTATGTAAATTTATACCCTGTGAACTTTAGTTATAAATTTTGACAATTGTATCGTAATGAATGAAACTTATGTAAATATTGAAACATAAATGAATGAAACTTAGTTATATACCAATGTATGTATCAAAACCTGATGCAATATATAACATAAATTAAGTCATGACTATGCAACTAAATGTTCCCAATTTGAAAGAACTGACTTAGTCTCAATATATAACTTGGTTACTTGAATTTCTTAAATTGTAAATGAAACAAAATAAAACACAAGCAAAAGTAGAATCTTTAACCAATAGGATTTAGTCTTTTAGAATTAACAAGGTAGGCTCTTTCGTAATGCTCAAAAGAACGTACAATTGTTAAAAATGCAATTAGAAGCAGCATAACATAAAGAGTTTTGTCATGATGCATACTATAATGCCATTGGTGCAGAGGAGCACTGAGAGCCCCTTTGTGAAGCTACTTATTACAGTCAAACAACCCTCATAGCAGCAAGAACAATGATTAGGCAAATATTTAGAACAAAACAAACTAAATCTTAAACCACATCACAGTTAACAATTATGAAAAACAAAATTATAATCTTTCATTAACTTTTGTTCTTAACAAGACATCTTAAAGCAGGAAATAACTTTTGTACATGTAGTATTACGTAATGTCTGTAGCCTTCAACTATTACATAATGACATTCCTAAGCTTCATGGTTTTCAAATTCCTACACCCTACTAGGCTTTAGGTTCAGCCTGATGTGATATTTCAGAAAATTGAGTTGATGGCATAACTGGTCACATGATGCAGTTTGTTAGTGTGCTTCCTCACAATGCACAGGACCTGGTTGGGTTGTTATCGGACAACGACTTCTGTTGTGGCCTTGTTCCCTACATAGCCCACATCTTTTGCGTAACCCAACTTTGGTCATTCGTGAATCATCCTTCCTCGTCTCCTATTATTCTAGTCTTCTTTTCTTCTTAGGTCTTCCCGACAATATTCTTTTCTGTGGAGGGAAGACATTAAGATATGGAGTAATGTCCCACATGTTTTTACCATTGATGGGATATATAATTGATGCATATGTCTCTTCGTATGTTGACTTCATATAGCAACAAGGAATGAATTGTTCTTCATCCATATTCAGAAACTTCATTGCAGCCAGGGACGACAACAAGGAACTCAGTGATGTTATATCTCCTACATGTGCATGACCATTTGTCTATGTTGACTACAAACTTATATCCACTGTGTGACACTTGTCGAACTTCAAAATGTTTGTTCGCTGACTAGTTGTCAACAAAAAAGAACAATAATTATTAACCAAATAAATAAATTAACATAACTCTGAAGTCATGAATGGAGTTTACCTAAGAATCCAATGTTTGCTTAATTGAGATTCCTTTTGAAATTTGGTTTGGATTTTGGGACAAATGGATCCTGAAAAGGATGTTATGCTTGACTTGTTCCTTGTCAATCTTTGCATGATGTAAACCTGTATCTCTTCCAACATGGTAATGATGGGTTTACTCCTAGTATGAACCAGTACACTATTGAAGGCCTCACTCATTTTGTTAACCAAGGTGTCACATTTAGTTGTTGTAGTGAACCTTGATCTTGACCAACATCTACAACAGATAACGTAAACAAATATTAACATTAAGTCAAACCTAAATTATGGTTAAGTTATGAACACAAATCTTGAAGGAATGACTATCAAATGCTTAAAAGCCTCTTCGTTCAACACTTTTATGTTTCTCATCTCCATCTCCCAAGTTTGTGGGTGCGTGGCTGTAGCTGCACTCCATATTAAACGCTTAAAGTTTTTGCTAGGGAATTTCTTCCTAAAGTTGGCATACAAGTGCCTAATACAAAATCTTTGGTCAACTTCAGGAAGAAGTTCTTGTATAGCTGGAAGTAGGCCTTGCAGTTCTAACACGATAAAGTGCAGGTAGAAAATACAAGTAATTAATAAAGGTCAAGGTCAATGTAAAAAAATTACAAATTGAAGATGATTATTACCTTTTGTTGGTCTAATATAAAGGTAAATGATGAACATACTTTATCCCCACTAAGGTCATAATCAATAGTTCCAAAAACCAGGTCCATGAATCATTGCTCTCAACTTCAACCACAACATATGCAATAGGCAACATTTGCTCATTTGCATCTCGTCCAACAGTCGTTAACAACTCCCCATCACACTTCCCTCTTAAGAAAGCTCCATCTAAACCAATTATTGGCCTACATGACACAAAATTGTCTTTGAATGCCTTCAGACATGTGTAAAATCTCTTGAAAATGACTTGACCCTCAATATCTTCAACCTTTACTTTCATTGTTATCCTGGATTTCTGGCCAGCAGCTCGTGGGCATAATCATATATCCTTTTATACAGTTCTTTGAAGGACCTATCAATATGGTCTGAAGCAATTACTTTTGTCCTATAAGTCATACACTTAAATATATCAATGTTCCATTTTCTTTGTATTTTTTCTCATATATACACCTAGATATATCAATTTTGTATTTTTTTTTCTAGTATATCGTACACCCCTCTTTTTCATTACCCAAGTCCAAACCCAACATGTACCCCAAGTGGACCCCAGATGTCACTACTCATCTCCCAACAAGAAGCTCCCATACGTAAGTGTTTGCGTGAATACACCAAAACCATGCATGATAACCAAAAAGGTTTAATAGGTTCGGAGGTCCCTATATTTGCGGGTTCGTTTCAATTGGGTCCTCCAATTTTGAAAGTGATCAATTGGGTCCCTAATTTGGTAAATGTGATTCAATAATAGGATCTCCGTTAAATGCAGTTAACTACGTTAACTTTGTTATGAAGTGGCAAGCTGAGGCATCCAGGTGGTATC